CCAGTAAGTGATCCCATGATTGACTATCAATATGGCCTCAGTGTGACAATTTTGTATATACTATGGTAGTGATATATATGTTTAGGTTGTCATTTTTGTCACAATTTTGTGGAAAATTAAAAAATGAAAACATTTTTCACTTTTTTTTTTACACACTGTCACCAATGCAGTGCAGCGTCAATATATAACGAAAAAATAATGATGTTGTACTGCATTGGTGACAGTGTGTAAAAAAAAAAAAGTGAAAAATGTTCATTTTTTAATTTTTGTTATATAATGACGCTGCACTGCATTGGTGACAGTGTGTAAAAAAAAGTGAAAAGTTTTAAAATTTTTTTTTAATTTTAGTTATATAATGTCACTGTACTGCATGGGTGACAGTATGTAAAAAGAAAAAAAAGTGAAAAATGTTTTCATTTTTTATTTTAGTTTTATAATGTCGCTGTACTGCATTGGTCACAGTGTGTTAAAAAAAAAAGTGAAAAATTTTAATTTTTTAATTTTTGTTATATAATGACGCTGCACTGCATTGGTGACAGTGTGTAAAAAGAAAAAAAAAAAGAAAAATGTTTTCATTAATAATTTTAGTTATATAATGTCGCTGTACTGCATTGGTGACAGTATGTAAAAAAAAAAAAAAAAAAAAATTTTTAATTTTTTTATTTTAGTTTTATAATGTCGCTGTACTGCATTGATGATGATGTGTAAAAAAAAAAAAAAAGAAAAATGTTTTCATTAATAATTTTAGTTATATAATGTCGCTGTACTGCATTGGTGACAGTATGTAAAATAAAAAAAAAAAAAAAATTTTTTAATTTTTTTATATTTTAGTTATTATATGTTTTGTTTTATAATGTCGCTGTACTGCATTGGTCACATGATGAAAAATGTGTAAAAAAAAAAAAAAAAGAAAAATGTTTTCATTAATAATTTTAGTTATATAATGTCGCTGTACTGCATTGGTGACAGTATGTAAAAAAAAAAAAAAGTGAAAAATGTTTTCATTTTTTATTTTAGTTTTAAAAAAAAAAGTGAAAAATGTTTTCATTTTTATTTTAGTTTTATAATGTCGCTGTACTGCATTGGTCACAGTGTGTTAAAAAAAAAGTGAAAAAATTTTTAATTTTTTTAATTTTTGTTATATATGACGCTGCACTGCATTGTGACATGATGTGTAAAAAAAAAAAAAAAAAGAAAAATGTTTTCATTAATAATTTTAGTTATATAATGTCGCTGTACTGCATTGGTGACAGTATGTAAAAAAAAAAAAAAAGTGAAAAATGTTTTCATTTTAATTTTAGTTATATAATGTCGCTGTACTGCATTGGTGACAGTATGTAAAAAAAAAAAAAAAAATTTTAATTTTTTTATTTTAGTTTTATAATGACGCTGTACTGCATTGGTGACAGTGTGTAAAAAGAAAAAAAAAAGAAAAATGTTTTCATTAATAATTAATTTTAGTTATATAATGTCGCTGTACTGCATTGGTGACAGTATGTAAAAAAAAAAAAAAAAAGTGAAAAATGTTTTCATTTTTATTTTAGTTTTATAATGTCGCTGTACTGCATTGGTCACAGTGTGTAAAAAAAAAAAAAAAAGTGAAAAAAATTTAAATTTTTTAATTTTTGTTATATAATGACGCTGCACTGCATTGGTGACAGTGTGTAAAAAAAAAAAGTGAAAATTTTTAAATTTTTTTAATTTTAGTTATATAATGTCACTGTACTGCATTTGATGATGATGTGTAAAAAGAAAAAAAAGTGAAAAATGTTTTCATTATTAATTTTAGTTATATAATGTCGCTGTACTGCATTGGTGACAGTATGTAAAAAAAAAAAAAAAAAAAAATTTTTTTTTTATTTTAGTTTTATAATGACGCTGTACTGCATTGATGATGATGTGTAAAAAAAAAAAAAAAAGAAAAATGTTTTCATTAATAATTTTAGTTATATAATGTCGCTGTACTGCATTGGTGACAGTATGTAAAAAAAAAAAAAAAAGTGAAAAATGTTTTTTTTTTTATTTTTAGTTTTATAATGTCGCTGTACTGCATTGGTCACAGTGTGTTAAAAAAAAAAGTGAAAAATTTAAATTTTTTAATTTTTGTTATTATAATGACGCTGCACTGCATTGGTGACAGTGTGTAAAAAAAAAGTGAAAATTTTTAATGTTTTTTTTTTAATTTTAGTTATTTTGTTATTTTTTATAATAATGTCACTGTACTGCACTGCATTGATGATGATGTGTAAAAAGAAAAAAAAAAAGTGAAAAATGTTTTCATTATTAATTTTAGTTATATAATGACGTTGTACTGCATTGGTGACAGTATGTAAAAAAAAAAAAAGTGAAAAATGTTTTAATTTTTTTATTTTAGTTATATAATGTTGCTGTACTGCATTGTGACAGTGTAAAAAGAAAAAAAAGAGAAAAATGTTTTCATTTTTTAATTTTAGTTATATAATGTTGCTGTACTGCATTGGTGACAGTATGTTAAAAAAAAAAAAGTGAAAAATTTTTTCATTTTTTAATTTTAGTTATATAAAGACGCTGCACTGCATTGGTGACATTGGTGACAGTGTGCAAAAAAAAAAAGTGAAAAATTTTAATTTTTTAATTTTAGTTGTACAATGTCGCTGTACTGCATTGGTGACGGTGTGTAAAAAGAAACAAAAAAGAAAAATGTTTTCATTTTTTATTTGTAGTTATATAATGTTGCTGTACTGCATTGGTGACAGTGTGTAAAAAAAAAAGTGAAAAATATTTTATTTTTCCACAAAATTATGACAAAAACTTCAAAAAACTTTGTACTACTCTGGGCAACCGATCAGGTTTTTTTTAAACGTGATGATTGCTTATACCAATTAATTTCGTTGGATTTCATCAGTATAAGCAAGCGTTTTTACTGAATGAAACAGATTCTTTCAGTAGTTTTAGTTGTGAACAGCTGTGATTGGCTACAGCTGATCACATGCAGATACAGATGGGTTGTGATTGGCCCAGTCTGTACATGTGATCACTGTGACCAATCGCAGCTAGCAGCACAGGTTGTAGGCAATAAATGGCATAAAAGGAAGCCGTTCATTGTTTGCAACTGTCGTGTGATCTGTTGTGATTGGTCACAGTGACCACGTGACACCGGCAGCAGGCTGGTGTAGTGATCTGTCATTGGCCTGTCTGGTGGACACATCCAACAACAGATCGCGCCAGAACAAATGACGTCCTCCCAGGATAATAGGGATCTTGATCGACCGCCATCTTACAGTAGGCCAGAGGAGTCAAAATATCACTTTCCGACCGAAATATCTATATATACCCAGAATTTTTTTCTTCGATTGTCTTTCCCATGAAAGTGGTCCAAGCAGCTACTTAGCCGCTGGATCACTTTCAGAAGCAGCAAGATCGTCTTTGATCACCTCTATGATCGTGGAGGACTGAAGCGACGTTATGACGTTATGACGTCATGTCTAGGGCAGAAGTAAACAATTTTTTTTTTTTTAAAGCAAAATAGCAAGAAAATTTTTTACATTTTGTTTTTAAAGGTAGAGAAGAGATCTGAGGCCTTATAGACCCCAGATATCTCCATAAAGAGGACCTGTCATTCCTTATTTCTATTACAAGGGATGTTTACATTCCTTGTAATTGGAGTAAAAGTGATTTAAAATAAGGGACAGTGTAAAAAAAAATATAATATATATATATATATATATATATATATATATATATATATATTTATTAATTTTTCTTTTATATACTTCAAAGTAGATTTAAACTCAATCAATAAAATCTCACATGGGCTCTAACATATCCATGTCATTGCAAAAAGTTGTTTTCAATTTTTTTTAAATCTTCAGCTTTCATTAAGATAATACCACCCAATTATGCTTCTATCAGTCAAAAAATTGTTATGCATTTATCTATATTTGTAATATTTATATTTATGTACAGTATTTACATATATATTATTTTTTTATTTATTATTTTTGTTTTTTCATTTATTTATTTTATACTTCATATATTTTAAAGCAGATTTAAAGTCAATGAATAAAATATTATATGGGCTCTAACATAATCATGTCATATATATATACACATACAGGTGAAACTCGAAAAATTAAAATATGGTGCAAAAGTTGATTTATTTCAGTGCAGCAACTTAAAAGGTGACACTAATATATGAGACTCATTCCATGCAAAGCAAGATAGTTCAAGCCGTGATTTGTCATCATTGTGATGATTATGGCTTACAGCTCATGAAAACCCCAAATCCACAATCTCAGAAAATGAGAATATTCCATGCAATCAATAAAACACGGATTGTACATAGAACAATATCGACCTCTGAAAAGTAGAAGCTGCATATGTACTCAGTACTTGGTTTGGGCCCCTTTTGCAGCAATTACTGCCTCAATGCGGCGTGGCATGGAAGCTATCAGCCTGTGGCACTGCTGAGGTGTTATGGAAGACCAGGTGCTTCAATAGCGGCCTTCAGCCCTTCTGCATTGTTCGGTCTCATGTCTCTCATCTTTCTCTTGGCAATGCCCCATAGATTCTCTATGGGGTTCAGGTCAGGCGAGTTTGCTGGCCAATCAAGCACAGTAATCCCACGGTCATTGAACCAGGTTTTGGTGCTTTTTTGGCAGTGTGGTCTTGTGGAAAATGAAGTCAGCATCCCCATAAAGCTCGTCTGTGGAAGGAAGCATGAAGTGCTCCAAAATCTCCTGGTAGAACGGCTGCGGTGACCCTGGACTTAATGAAGCACAGTGGACCAACACCAGCAGATGACATGGCTCCCCAAATCAATACAGACTGTGGAAACTTCACACTGGACTTCAAGCATCTTGCAGTGTGTGCCTCTCCATTCTTCCTCCATACTCGGGGTCCTTGTGCCTCTCCATTCTTCCTCCATACTCGGGGTCCTTGTGCCTCTCCATTCTTCCTCCATACTCGGAGTCCTTGGGCCTCTCCATTCTTCCTCCATACTCGGGGTCCTTGTGCCTCTCCATTCTTCCTCCATACTCGGGGTCCTTGGGCCTCTCCATTCTTCCTCCATACTCGGGGTCCTTGGGCCTCTCCATTCTTCCTCCATACTCGGGGTCCTTGGGACTCTCCATTCTTCCTCCATACTCGGGGTCCTTGGGCCTCTCCCTTCTTCCTCCATACTCGGGGTCCGTGGGCCTCTCCATTCTTCCTCCATACTCGGGGTCCGTGGGCCTCTCCATTCTTCCTCCATACTCGGGGTCCTTGGGCCTCTCCATTCTTCCTCCATACTCGGGGTCCTTGTGCCTCTCCATTCTTCCTCCATACTCGGGGTCTTTGTGCCTCTCCATTCTTCCTCTATACTCGGGGTCCTTGGGCCTCTCCATTCTTCCTCCATACTCGGGTCCTTGGGCCTCTCCATTCTTCCTCCATACTCGGGGTCCTTGGGCCTCTCCATTCTTCCTCCATACTCAGGGTCCTTGTGCCTCTCCATTCTTCCTCCATACTCTGGGTCCTTGGGCCTCTCCATTCTTCCTCCATACTCGGGGTCCTTGGGCCTCTCCATTCTTCCTCCATACTCGGGGTCCTTGTGCCTCTCCATTCTTCCACCATACTCGGGGTCCTTGTGCCTCTCCCTTCTTCCTCCATACTCTGGGTCCTTGGGCCTCTCCATTCTTCCTCCATACTCGGGGTCCTTGTGCCTCTCCATTCTTCCTCCATACTCTAGGTCCTTGGGCCTCTCCATTCTTCCTCCATACTCGGGGTCCTTGGGCCTCTCCATTCTTCCTCCATACTCGGAGTCCTTGTGCCTCTCCATTCTTCCTCCATACTCGGGGTCCTTGTGCCTCTCCATTCTTCCTCCATACTCGGGGTCCTTGGGCCTCTCCATTCTTCCTCCATACTTGGGGTCCTTGGGCCTCTCCATTCTTCCTCCATACTCGGGGTCCTTGTGCCTCTCCATTCTTCCTCCATACTCGGGGTCCTTGTGCCTCTCCATTCTTCCTCCATACTCGGGGTCCTTGGTTTCCAAATGAGATGCAAAAGTTGCTCTCATCAGAAAAAAGGACTTTGAACCACTGAGCAACAGACCAGATCTGTTTTTTCTTTAGCCCAGGTAAGACGCTTCTGACGTTGTTTGTTGTTCAGGAGCGGCTTGACAAAAGGAAGACGACATTTGAAGCCCATGTCCAGGATCCGTCTGTGTGTGGTGGCTCTTGATGCACTGACTCCAGCCTCAGTCCACTCCTTGTGAAAGTCCCCAACACTTTTGAATGGCCTTTTCCTGACAATCCTCTCCAGGCTGCGGTCATCCCTGCTGCTTGTGCACCTTTTTTTCCCTTCCACATAACTTTCTATTAATGTGCTTTGATACAGCACTTTGGGAACATCCAACTTCTTTTGCAATTCCCTTTTGAGGCTTTCCCTCCTTATGGAGGGTGTCAGTGATGGTGTCAGGTCAGCAGTCTTTCCCATGATTGTGATTCCTACTGAACCAGACTGAGAGACCATTTAAAGGCTCAGGAACCCTTTGCAGGTGTTATGGCTGAATTATCTGATTAGAGTGGGACACTTTGAGCCGAGATATTATTCCACCTTTTCACAATATTCTCATTTTCTGAGATTGTGGATTTGGGGTTTTCATGAGCTGTAAGCCATAATCATCACAATGATGACAAATCACGGCTTGAACTATCTTGCTTTGCATGTAATGAGTCTCATATATTAGTTTCACCTTTTAAGTTGCTGCGCTGAAATAAATGAACTTTTGCACCATATTCTAATTTTGTGAGTTTCACCTGTATATATATATAGATCTATATAGTGTTTTTTTTAATTCATTAAACTGTATTTTTTTCAAAAAAAAAAATGTGCGTTTGAAAAACTGCTGTGCAAATACCTTGTAAACTATAGCAATTTTCTTTTTTTTTTTCATAAACACTGTTTTCCCATTTTTTTCAACATATTCTCAGTCTCAGTGCTGCTGTCCTTATGGTGACAGTGAAGGACCAACCATGCTTGCACCATATGCGGTCTGACAGACTGACAGTGACTGACAGACGCATCATTGGATGGGATTATCTTAATGAAAGCTGGCTTTTAAAACATTAAAAACTACTTTTTGCAATGACATGAATATGTTAGAGCCCATAGATAAATAAATAATCATAAATAAATAAATAAATATAATAATAATAATAATAATAATAAATAAATAAATAATATATAAGTAAATACATAAATATAAATATTAAAAATATAGATAAATGCGTAACAATTTTTTGACTGACAGAAGCATAATTGGGTGGTATTATCAACAAGTTTTTGCAATTACATGAATACCTTAGAGCCCATATGAGATTTTTATTGATTGCGTTTAAATCTACTTTAAAAAAAAATATGATATAAATAAATAAAAATAAAATTAAAAAATAAATAATACATAAATATACATATTAACAACTTTTTGCAATGACATGAATATGTTAGAGCCCATATGAGATTTTATTGATTGCATTTAAATCTACTTTAAAAAATATGAAGTATAAAAAAGTAAATAAATAAATATATAATTAAATACATATAAATAAATATTAAAAATATAGATAAATACCTAAAATTTTTTGGACTGATAGAAGCATAATTGGGTGGTATTATCTTAATGAAAGCTGAAGATTTAAAAAGATTGAAAACAACTTTTTTGCAATGACATGAACATGTTAGAGCCCATATGAGATTTTATTGATTGCGTTTAAATCTACTTTCTCCTAGATTGTAAGCTCCGAGGAGCAGGGCCCTCCTTTCCCTTTTGTATTGAACTGTATTGTTTCCCGTTATATTGTAAAGCGCTGAGCAAACTGTTGGCACTATATAAATCATGTATAATAATAATTTAAAAAAAAAACATACAATATATAAAAAAAAAAATAAATAAAAAAAAATAATAAAAAAATAATATATAAAAATAAACATAACTATACATATTTAAAAAATATAGATAAATGCATAACAATTTTTTGACTGATAGAAGCATAATTGGGTGGTATTATCAACACCTTTTGCAATGACATGAATACCCATATGAGATTTTATTGATTGCGTTTAAATCTACTTTAAAAAAAATATATGATATAAAAAAAATAAAAGTAAAAATAAAATAAAAAATAAATAATACATAAATATACATATTAACAACTTTTTGCAATGACATGAATATGTTAGAGCCCACATGAGATTTTATTGATTGCATTTAAATCTACTTTAAAAAATATGAAGTATAAAAAAAGTAAATAAAAAAATATATAATAAAATGCATAGAAATAAAAATATTAAAAATATAGATAAATACATAACAATTTTTTTGACTGATAGAGGCATAATTGGGTGGTATTATCTTAATGAAAGCTGAAGATTTAAAAAGATTGAAAAACAACTTTTTGCAATGACATGAACATGTTAGAGCCCATATGAGATTTATTTGATTGCGTTTTAAATCTACTTTCTCCTAGATTGTAAGCTCCGAGGAGCAGGGCCCTCCTATCCCTTTTGTATTGAACTGTATTGTTTCCCGTTATATTGTAAAGCGCTGAGCAAAACTGTTAGCGCTATATAAATCCTGTATAATAATAATAACTTTTAAAAAACATACAATATATAAAAAAAAAAAAAAAAAAAAAAAATTATATATAAATAATACATAACTATACATATTTTAAAAATATAGATAAATGCATAACAAATTTTTTGACTGATAGAAGCATAATTGGGTGGTATTATCAACACCTTTTGCAATGACATGAATACCCATATGAGATTTTATTGATTGCGTTTAAATCTACTTTAAAAAAAAATATACGATATAAAAAAATAAAAATAAAATTAAAAAAATAAATAATACATAAATATACATTTTAACAACTTTTTGCAATGACATGAATATGTTAGAGCCCATATGAGATTTTATTGATTGCATTTAAATCTACTTTAAAAAATATGAAGTATAAAAAAGTAAATAAATAAATATATAATTAAATGCATAGAAATAAATATTAAAAATATAGATAAATACATAACAATTTTTTGACTGATAGAAGCATAATTGGGTGGTATTATCTTAATGAAAGCTGAAGATTTAAAAAGATTGAAAACAACTTTTTGCAATGACATGAACATGTTAGAGCCCATATGAGATTTTATTGGTTGCGTTTAAATCTACTTTCTCCTAGATTGTAAGCTCCGAGGAGCAGGGCCCTCCTATCCCTTTTGTATTGAACTGTATTGTCTCCCGTTATATTGTAAAGCGCTGAGCAAACTGTTGGCGCTATATATATATATCATGTATAATAATAATAATAACTTTAAAAAACATACAATATATAAAAAATAAAATAAAAAAAATAAATAATATATAAATAATACATAACTATACATATTTTAAAAATATAGATAAATACATAACAATTTTTTGACTGATAGAAGCATAATTGGGTGGTATTATCAACACCTTTTGCAATGACATGAATACCCATATGAGATTTTATTGATTGCGTTTAAATCTACTTTAAAAAAAATATACGATATAAAAAAACAAAAATTTAATTAAAAAATTAAAAAATAAATTTATACATATTAACAACTTTTTGCAATGACATGAACATGTTAGAGCCCATATGAGATTTTGATAATTGCATTTAAATCTACTTTATATATTTATTTACTTTTTTATATGTCATATTTTTTAATTAAATACAAAATATGGGAAATTAAATATTTCAATCAAATATAGATAAATATTATGCTTTATAGATAAATATATAATGTATATATTTATTATTTACTTTTTTATATGTCATATTTTTTAATTAAATACATAGAAATAAATATTACAAATATAGATAAATACATAACAATTTTTTGACTGATAGAAGCATAATTGGGTGGTATTATCTTAACGAAAGATGAAGATTTAAAAAGATTGAAAACAACTTTTTGCAATGACATGAACATGTTAGAGCCCATATGAGATTTTATTGATTGCGTTTAAATCTACTTTAAAAAATATACAATATGAAAAAAAAATAAATTAATAAAAAAAATAAATAAAATAAAAAATAAATAATACATAATTATACATATATAAAAAATATAGATAAATGCATAACATTTTTTTTTTTCATTTCTATCTTTGTTCCTCTCCCTGTCACTCTTGTTGCCTTTCTGACAGATGTTCCCAAAGGTCCAGTCAAGCTGTCTAACAGGGTGGCGTGAAGATCAGGTTGAGTAGGTGTATGGAATGGACATGAGTGGCCTGCAAGGAATGCGCGAGAATCAGACTTCTGTCGTCTGCTATGAGCTTCTCATTTCTCCCACTGGGCCTCAATCTCCCACTTGAATGTGCTATCCAGCTGATGCATCTAAAAAGGTAACTAATCCCTTCATGGAAACTATGAGGTCCATGCCACGCTGTACAAAACACACAAGCAGAATCGCACAGGAGGCACACAATGGGAGCCTCGGTTGCGAGCAGCAATAGTATTAATTAAGCTCCCACAATGTATATAGCGGATGGGCCACAAGACAATGGCGGAGAAATCTCTGGGTTAATGTAAGACAGAGGTTCTTAGGAGATTTCAGCCCCGTATTGTGAAGAGTGAATGAAAAGAGCATCTCACTTCTGTTCAACAAATAATCCCTTGCCAAATTTCTGGTGAAATAATTAGCTGAGCCTCTTAATTCATCACAGATTTCCTCATTTGACACAGAGGGAACCTTACACGCTGAATAAGCTCTTTCTGTACGGAAGCCAGTTGGCAGAGAGGTGGCTCCATTTCCAACCATGGGCTCAGGCAGGAACCTTCTTTTTGTTCGGGGGGTGGTGGTGGGGGGGAAATAATCAGCGGTAATTCTTCTTGCTCAGCTGTGGGCTGTTGGCTGGAAATAAAGACAGAAATACTGTTTGTGTCA